TTTCATACGTACTCCGCACTGTCAATTTCATACGTACTCCGCACTGTCAATTTCATACGTACTCCGCACTGTTTATTTCATACGTACTCCGCACTGTTTATTTCATACTGTCAATTTCATACGTACTCCGCACTGTCAATTTCATACGTACTCCGCACTGTCAATTTCATACTGTCAATTTCATACGTACTTCGCACTGTCAATTTCATACGCAATTTCATACGTACTTCGCACTGTCCATATTCTTAGTTTTAGTGACAGTTTTAAGGCGCTTGAAATACAATTTGGTCATAAAAGTACCAAAGATTAGAAGCGTTACTAAAGAGTAACATACATGGTAGAGAAGGTTTACTTTTAGTAAGAGTTTTAGAGCACCAGCAACACAATGAGAGCATATAAAGGCTGAAGATTAGAGGTGTTACCAGAGAGTAACAAACACAAAAAAAGAAGAAGGGGAGATCAGGTCGATAGATGTTTGATAGGAAAGAAGGAGCAAACTACACCAGAGCACCCACCAATCACCCACAGGTAGAAAAGGGAAGAGATAAGAACAAAAGATGTTTGCTATGGAAGAGAGAGCATAACCACACCAGAGCACCCACCAACCACTCATTGTGGAATGTTTACATGATCTCAATCAGAAACCAACAGACCGTGTGATAACCAAACCAAATATAGAAACGTTCCATGATAAATTGTTGTTTGTCGTTTTTATTATCCGCGGCACTGAACCAACACTAACTAACACACAATAATATTCTTCTAGAATGAAAGTGGTTTTACGCTTCGGTGAACACAATTCAGCTTAGATCTATTTAGGAGGCGGGCTTCCGACCCTGTCTGTAAGGACCAGCCTAGCCTAGGAGAGATACAACTTCCAAGCAGAAAGACCGAGATACTCGTTATCAATTCCTCCCCATTCGGGAATCGAACTTGAGTCTCCTGTGTGAGTTACCAAAGAGTAGCATACAAGATAAAGAAAGAGAAAAGATAAGGACGATAGATGTTTGATAGTGAAAGAAGGAGCAAACCATACCAGAGCATCCTCCAACCACTCATTGCGGAATGTTTACAAGATCGGTATGAGAAACCAACAGACCGTGTGATAACCAAACCAAATATAGAAACGTTCCACGATAATTGTTGTTTGTTGTTGTTATCATCCGTGGCACTGAACCAAGACTAACTAACACACAATAATTATCTTCTAGAATGAAAGTGGTGTTACGCTTCGGTGAACACAATTCAGCTTAGATCTATTTAGGAGGCGGGCTTCCAACCCTGTTTGTCAGGAATTAACCTGGACTGAGAGATTTATAATAACACACAATAATTTTCCTTTAGAATGAAAATGGTTTTGTGCTTCATTGAGTTTTTTTAGTAAGAGTTTTACGGCGCTTGCAACACAGTTAGGTCAAACACAATAAGCTCATATGAGTGCCAAAGATTTGAGGTGTTACAAGAGAGTAACAAAAACAAAAAAGGAGGAGAGGGGAAAAAGACAATAGATCATGTTTGATAAGAAAGAAGAAGCAAAACACACCAGAGCACCCGCCAACCACCCACGTTTTACGCTTCGGTGGACACAATTCAGGTTTGATCTGTTTAGGAGGCTGGCTTCCGACCCTGTCTGTCAGGACCATTAACCTGAGCTGAGATATATATTGTCGCTTTTAAGGTCAAGCCGGCTAACCCAGATTTCGGGGGCTTCTAGAAATCTTGATCGACACCAAAACTGGACATTGCCCAACCTATAGGAGAAGTTTGGTTTCATTGGTGTGTTTATTTGTTTGGTTATATTTATAGAGAAAACTCTCCTTGTCTTTTAAAGAAACTGAACAAGGGGCAAAAATTTTAACTTCGATTTTCTCCAAACAGTATTTTTGGGGATGGCCCCCTTGTGCTTAAAAAACGACCATTTAGGAGGCGTGCTTCCGACCCTGCCTGTCAGGACAATTAACCTGTGCTGAGAAATATATATTACAACATCTAAGCAGAAAGACCGAGATACTCGATAACAAATTCTCCCCATTCGGGAATCGAACTTGAGTCTCCTGTGGGTAGCACCGACACACCCAACCACTACACCTACCACCCAAGCAGCCAAGAGGCCGTGTGATATCCACTCAAACGTCAAGAGGCGTCCCGTGATAAATGTTGTTTATTGTCATGTCGTTATTTCTGGCACCGAGCCAAGACCAACCAACAATTCACCCCTACTGTCGATATTTGGCACTTACGTTACCAAAATTGAGTCGATAGTGCCGTAAAACACCTACTCAATCGATCAATCTGTCCATATTCTTAGTTTTAGTTTAAGTAACAGTTTTACGGCGCTTGCAAGACAGTTTGGTCCTTAAAATGCCGAAGTTATGTGATACTAGAGAGTACCGTACAAAGAAAAGGAGGAGGACAGATAAGGATGATAGATGTTCGATAGAAAAGAATAAGGAAAATCACACCCGAGCACCTGTCAGCCACCCACATTCTTTAAAATATATTATGCTTATCGAGAAATCTCTGTCGAGAGGTGTTGTGTGATTTCTGTTGATGGTGTTGATGGTGTTGATGATGTTGATGTTATTGTCGTCAGTTTCATGGTTGTTGTCGTTGTTATTGTGGTTGGTGTTATCAAGTTTGTTGTTGTCGTTGTTGTTGTTGTTGTTGTTGTTACAGCTGTTACAGCTGTTGATGTCGTTGCTATTGCTGTCTTTGTTAGACAGGTGCACAAAAATACACAGACAATTAAAACTATACAGGTCTACAGACACACAAACGTATACACACACACCGACAGACAAAGCAACACAGACACACGGGACCATGCAAACACACAAAGCAATACAGACACACAATCACACACACACACACACACACACACACACACACACACACAAACACACACACACACACACACAAACAGAGAGAGTGAGAGAGTGAGAGACAGAGGGAGAGAGAAACAGATAGAGGGAGAGAGAGAGAAAGAGGGAGAGAGAGAGAAAGAGAGAGAGAGCGAGAGAGAGAGAGAGAGAGAGAGAGAGAGAGAGAGAGAGAGAGAGAGAGAG